TCCAATCTCGATCGACATCGTTGTCCATCTCTCTCACCCTGCCCCGACCATCTCTGCTTCCACTCTCAGATTGTGAGCTCTGGCTTTTGCATCTGCCTTCATCGCGACCTCGCTCCGCCAGATTGCCTACTACTATTTTTTTTTTTTTTTTTTTGAACTATTTCCTCCTTTGGATCTCACTCAAGGCTATCGTGGTTTTTGTTTTCTGTTTTTTTTTTTCTTTTTTCTTTTTTATTTGTGTGGGTTGAGCACAAGGGAGTATAGCTCATGCCAAATAGTTTTGCAGATCGCAACGCCGTTATCGCAATGCCCCCCGCCTCCCTCCTCTTCCCCACCCCATATCTCAACATTCTCCCCCGATATCCCCCTCAGCCTGCTTTTCCCATCCCTCTGCCACCATAGCGACCTCCACTCGCCCTGACCATCCCTGGTCATATCTTTAGATTGCTACCTTCTTCCCCCGAATACAACGTACGGTCATTATAGCCGTATTTGGGGCATCTTTCAGTCTAAATACAGCTATAATGACCGTACGTTGTATTCGGGGGTAGAAGGTACCTCTGAGTTCATCATCTCCTCTCCCTCCTCTCGACCTCCCCCACCCACCAATCCCCCCCCCCCTCCCATTCTCGAGCTGCTTATGCCAAGTTTTGCGCGTGCGCGCGGGAGAGAGAGAGAGAGAGAGAGGGGGGGGGGGGGGGGGGGGGGGGGGGGGGGGGTTCATATCTGTATGGATAATTGGTTGATCAATGCATTTTTATTAGTATTCCATACTTTGTGTGGGTGTGTGAGCGAGTGGAGATGGACTCTGTGGAGGTGGAGGGGTGTGCAAAAGGTAGAAAGATCTGAGTCATCTTAACGTGGAAGAAGTGCAGCCAAGATTTCCGAAAAGAAGGAAGCAGAAAAAGAACATTTGTGAGCGCACCCAAAATTGCGGAAAAAGACATAAAAACAAAGAGTTCTCTCTCTTCCCATGGATGCCATGAGCGGCCTGTGGACCAAACGAGGCTTCCTTCGTGAGGGGGGGCAATTTGGCAAACCCCAGGGGTGAAAAGGCGAAGTGTTTGTAAAACAGTGTTGCCTGTTGCGGATTTCCACGTGCGCAATGGAAAGCACCACTCTCTCCGGGCTGGTGTTTGTTCAGCCCGGTTTTCGCCCATGTACTGGA